GAAGGGTGAAATCATCGGCGAATGCCGGCGGAGCCGCTCCGCTCAACGTGATCTAGGAGAATTGCCCTGCGCAGATTCTGAGTGTGCAGGGGCATGAGACTATGAAGGAGGACCTGCCATCCTTCCAGCGTCACTTGAAGGATTTGGGGTATCATGGTATCTACGAGGGCGCCAACAGGACGGACTCCGATGGGAAGTCGGGAGGCGTGGCGATCCTGACGCAGAGCCACATTGTCGTGAAGGCGCCTCCTTTGCTTCCCTGCCCCGTCCTGGAAGCTGGGGGGATTGTCGCTGCAGATGTCGCCTGGGGTGTTCCAGGAGGCCTGGTTGTGATTGCAGTATACCTGGTGTCGGGCGTGGGCTTGTCCCCCGAGAACGAAGCGACGTTGCTGAAGATTGCGAACTATTGCACGCAGTTGAATGCCATAGGTAGAGATTGGGTGGTTTGGGGGGATTGGAACCTGACGCCCGACCAGATCAGCAGACCCATTCGTGATGGAGTTGGGGGACACGTGCTTGCGCCTGAATCACCGACCTGTGTGGCTGAGCTTCCTGGGTCGACTATTGATTTTGGTTTGGCGTGCGTCAACCGATCCACGAGGTTGAGGAAGCCCAAGGTGATGGAGTCCCCAACGGTCAAGGTTCACAAGCCCGTGATTTTTCATGTGTTGGCTAATGATATGGATCGCTGGTGCAAAGTTGTTTGTGAGCCAGTGCCTTTTTCCCAAGGCTCCGCCGATCGGCTGCCCACGATTTCCTTTGGACTGGGACGCGTTGGAGAAGGCTATCTACTTTGCGGAGAATGAGGCAGACATTAGTGCAGCTTGGGATATCATGATGGCCAACATCGGGTTAGAGCTGCAAGGTGTATATGACATGTGCGAGGGACCCGAGGCAGTGGCCACATCTGGACGTGCGGGGCCAGTTGTGACTTGGCTTGTGCGTTCCACATGGGCCCCTTCTCGGCGTAGGTTGCAGCATGGGGGTAAGTTGAGGGCCTACATGGTGGCGAACAGATGGTCCCAGCATTTTCTATGCATGAAGAAGATCATACCCAAGGCGGTTGATAAGATCTTGATTTGGGAAGACATGGTACGAGTGGTCAGCAGCCGGGCCGGCCTTTCGCCGCTGGCGCGCTTTCTGGGAGAAGCTGTATTGTGCTATGCTAAGATGGGTAGCTGTGATAGCGTACATGAATTGCTTCCAGATTGGATGGTGGTATTCTTCGGAGGTCAGGGCAAAGGTGTTTCCTTGTTCGAGCGGTTGAGTGATGTTGAGCTGGACAGGAAGTGTCAGCAGGTGTGCGATGCGTATCTGAGGTTGCAGAAGGAGCATGATAAGAATGAGCGTGCACGTTGGAGAGGATTTGTGAAGAAAGGGTTCCTGGGAGGTTGCTCGGACGCACATAGGTTCTCAAGGGTCCAAGCCGCTCAGGAAACCGCCGATTCGGGCAATGAGCTGTCGCCGCATCAGCTCGCTGGCAGGGAGCTCGGCTTGTGGGCTTAAGTGTGGGACGTCCACCAGGCCACGAAGTTGAAGTTGCCTGATGACGCCGAGAGCTGGGCCCCCCTACCGTACATCACGGTGGACATGATGCGGGCGACGATCCTCAGCTTCGCTTGGAAGACGGCATCAGGGCCTAGTCGGTTGCAACCCAGGGCGCTGTGGTTCCTGTCGGACCAGGGCCTCGCGGCGATGGCAAGTTTCTTCAGGCGCTGCGAGGCCATGCTGGCGTGGCCCGCGAATCGAATTTCCGCCGAGATGGTGAAGATTCCGAAGGGGGGAGGTGGATCGCGATTGGTGGCCCTGATTCATACTATCATCAGGGTATGGGCACGGGCGAGGCGACCTGTGTCGAGGATGTGGTTGGAGATGAACCCCTCTGAGCTGATCTGGGGGAATAGGCCAAGATATTCCTCGTCAGCGTCGGCTTTCTCACACACCATCACCGCAGAGGTGGCGACTCTGCTGAATGAGCATTCGGTGACAGGGATGATATACATTTGGAAGTGCCTCGATGCCGTGCTGGTGGCAGAGCTGATATCGGAGGCGAGGGCGGTGCAGTATCCGCTCAGGTTGCTATGGCAGTTGGTCGCGTACTATGCGATGCCACGCGCGGTGAAGGCGTACGGCAGCTTGAGCGACATGATCGTGGTGAGGCAGGGTATTCTACCAGGCTGCACTCACGCGACTACGCTTTTGACGGCGTTGATGATGAGAACCCTGCAGAGGGCAAAGCTGGTGCATCCTACGATACATCCGCGAGCTCTGGTTGACGATGCCACGTTGCAATGGTTTGGGGGAGAGATCCGTGCTTCTCGGGAGTTGGCGCTTGCTACCAGGCGCTTTGTGATGGAGGCTAGAGAGCTGAGGCTGATTGTCCAGCCAACCAAGTCTTCGTTCACGGCCACTACTAATGCGGGTCGGATCGCGTTTGCGCGTTGGGCTGGCGTGTTGAAGATCAATCACAAGAGGTGCATCAGGAACCTCGGACATGACATGCATGGTGGTCGTGTTCACAGGCCTGTGGCGAAGGCACGCATCGCAAAATTGAAGCTTAGGATGCCATGGGTGATGTTGTTGAAGAAAGCTGGGGGGCAGGTGCACAAGTTATGGAAATCTGGACTTTTGAGCGCGTCAGCGCACGGGGCATCTGTGCCTGGCGCGCCTGATTCTGATCTGAAGAAGCTGAGGCAGGCTGCGGCCATCCTGGCTGGAGTCTCTTCTAGTGGCATCAGTCACACGTTGTACCTGTCTACCCAGGACGTGCGCTTCTACGACCCTATCTACGAAGCGACGGTGGCCATCTGCTACATGTACAGCAGCTTCCTGTGGGACCAGCGTGCAGAGCTTGGGCGGCTTGAGTCGGCATGGAGGGTTTTGCAGGCCAAATGGGACACAGGATCATGCAGCTGGCTGGGAGTGAGAGGGCCGCTGGCGGCCACATGGTTATCTCTACGGCGTATTGGACGGGAGATGAGGAGCAGTGCGATGGTGGTGTATGGTGAAGGCAGTATGATTTCATTGATGCATACGTGTCCCGCTGAGTTTCGTCAGCTATTGCGCGAAGGTGTTTCTCGTGGGCAATCCAGGCATATCCTCTCGCACCTACCTGAGCACTTGGAGGGAGGCGAATAGGTATGGATGCGTGCTTTACCATTGATCGCTGGTGGTTCCAAGTGTGCGGTACGACCACAGATGGCAGGTGCGCTTCGACTGCTCTGGTCTGGTGGATTCATGTCGGTATCCAAGAGGTCCGAGAGGCGCCTCCCAGCGTCTCCGCTGTGCCCCCACCCGCAGTGTTTGGCGTTGGGCCTGGCGGGAACAGTGGCCCACGGCTTCTACGCATGCCCGAACCTGCGAGTCGGGCATGCGAGTATTACACGGCTGAAGACCTATATAAGGAGCCGACGGCTGCAGGTCAACCTGAGTTCGATGAGGAGTTTGAGGAGACCAGGAACGCGCTGCCTGGGCGTGCTGTGAATAGTTTTGGGCATGAGTGTTGGGACCTCCTGGAGTTCTCCACTGGGTTGCCTCGCAGACCCAAGCCTCTGCCGCCAGTCTCTGGAAGCCCGCCTGTGTTTGTCTGGGGCGATTGGGCCTCGGACCCTCAGACGTGGCCCAGCTGGGCCTGCACGGACGGGTCAGGGCTTCATAGCGCGTGGCCTGAACTTCGGAGGTGCGGATGGGCGGTGATCCAGGTGGCGGGGGGGGATGGTCGACCGACCAGGGCCGTGTAGGGCCCATTGCCTGGCAGAAGGCAGACCGTTGGTGCTGCCGAGCGCTGGGCTCTGTTGCAGGGAGTTAGACGATTTCCGTTTCTGCGAGTGCTTGTTTCTGATTTGCTGGGAGCCGTGAGGGAGGGCCAGAGCTGGTCATCCAGTCTGTCCATGGCCCAAGGGACCCACGCGTCGATCTGGAGGCAAATCTTCGCGTGCTCTGGGTCCCGAGGCCCTCCCAGCTTTGAATGGGCCCCAGCTCACTTCGATCTTGAAGAGTTTTGCTTGACGTACCCCGACAAGCCCCCAGAGTGGCAGATCGGCAATTCGTGGGCTGATTTCTTCGCTAAAGCCGGGGCTCGGTCGCACGCTGTTTCAGATACGCAAGTGGAAGCCTTCGCCCAGGAGCTGAGACGGGTGAAGAAGGAGTGTAAGTTCGTCGCTCGGGCGACGGCCCAGCTCGCCAGCGCCCGCGAGGATTGAACAGTCAGTTGAGTGGGGCGCCTGCGCATCAAGGCATGAAGCAGGTGGCCCCAAACAATGCGAAGCTGTTGAGTTTTTGGGAGCATGAATGTTGGTCCCTGGGTCCTAGCGGTCGCGTTTGCAGGAAGTGTGGAATCCAGGCTAGGACCCAGGCGTCTGTCAAACTGCATACCCAGGGCAGCGGCAGGAGGTGTGAGCCATCCGAGGCGCAGAAGGCCTTGGCGCGTCTCGCCTTCTCTCTTGGGGGTAGGTTTGCTGAGGCGTCCCCGATGAGTCCTCCCGAGGCGGTCCGTGTGGCGCTTGCGGCGGCCGCGGCTGTGTGTGCTGGTTCGGGGCCGCCTGTGGGCCCTGGGGAGCCGTCGTCTGGAGGGGCCGCCTCAGGGGCCAGTGAGGATGATCCTTTCGCCAGTTTCACGGCCCATGGGCATAGGATGCACACGAAAGGGCGTTTTTTTTATTTGAAATGTGGTTCCTACTCGAGCCAACGGATTGGTACCCTTTTGAAAGGGGTCTGCAGGCAGCCTGTGAAGATGGCCAGGGGCGCCAGGGCTGCCATAGATCTCATCCTGGAGGGCAAACGTCCGGTCTCGAACGTGCCTTTTTAGTTTCGGGTCCTGGGAGGCTGGCCTCAGTGGCCAGACCGTGGGCCCTGGAGTGCAGGGCGCTGGCGGGAAACTCGCTGGCGTCGCTATGACTGTAATCCTGTAATCCTCCTCCTCCTCCTCCTCCTCCTCCTCCTCCTCCTCTTCCTCCTCCTCCTCCCCCTTCCTCCCCGCGCGCCCGGCCGGCGACGCCCAGCTGCCCCATCGGCTCGGCGGCGGGAGGCTTCGGCTGGCTGCGCAGCGTCGCGGCGCAGGTCTGCGCTCCCGTTTCCCGCCCCCGCTTGCCTCGCGCAGGTCAAGGAGGGGAAAGGGGGGAGGAACGGGAGGGGGGGAGGGCGGAGGGCGGAGGGAGGCCGGGAGACTGGTAAGGGCAAGAGGAAGGATGGGGAGGGAGGGGCGGGAAGGGGAGGATGGAGAGGCAGGGCAGGCTGAGGTGAGAGCCTATGGGGCCCGCTCGTCCGAGGCTGGCGCCTGCTTTGGACGCTCGCAGGCGAGCGGCGCCGCCAGTTGCTCAGCAGCATTCGGGAATACGGCCGTTCCCTGGCCAGGGCGGCGCTGGAGGGAGGAACGAGGAGGATGAAGACTCTGACCCCTCCTCCGTGTCTTTTTCCTCTTCTCCTCTCCTCCTCGTCCTCCTCTCGTCCTGCCTCTTAATTTGTCCTTATCTTTCCCTCATCCTTCCGTCCTCCCTCTTCCCACCTCCCTCTTCCTTCCCTCCTGCCTCCCCCCTCCCCCTCTTCCCTCCTCCCTCTCGCTTTTCCCGTCCTCTCTCCCGCTGCTGCGCCTCCGTCCTTTCTCATCCTCTTCCCTCATGTTGCTCCTCCTTTCTCCCTCGTCTTATTCCCTTCTGCTGCTCCTCCTTCCTACCTCATCTTATTTCCTTATGCTGATCCTCCTCCCTTCTAATCCGCAACCCCGTGTCATCGTCTACGTTTGGCCTATTTGGTTGTATGTGCCGTTGTGACACCCGCCTCTGTCGCCGTCCAGACCTGACGATGATTGCGGCAGCGGCTGCAAAGGGCGAGAGAGAGAGGGGGGACCGAGGGAAGGGGGAGGAGCGGGATGGCGAAACGAGGTGGGAGAGGGCGAACGAGAGTCGGGAGATGCGAGAGGGGAACAGGGGACAAGCTAGGTGCGCGCCAGATCTGACAGCCGATCCCTCCCACACACACCTCCCCGTTGTGCTGTGTTTCTCGATCTGCCAAGCGATTTCGTAGCGGAGCTGGATCCTCCAAAGTACCCCATCGTGTGGTGTGCAATCAGGAAGAAGAACTCGACACACATTGGAGGAGGAGTTGGCGGATGAGCAGAACGGAGAGAAGGAAGATAAAGGAGGAGGGGCATGAGGAACAGCAGCAGGAGGAGGAGGAGGAGCAATATGAACGGAAATAACAGGAGAACAAGGGGAAGGCGGATGAGGGGAAACGGATGGGGACAACAACGACGAGGAATGAATCGGATCCAGGAATGGCCCACGCTGGGGCGAGAACGCCATTCTGAACGACGGGAGCGAAGGGCCGATCCTGAAAATGGGACAAACGCCGCAGCGTGAACATCATTTTGAAAGACGGAAGACGTCCTCAGCGGCTTGCTCGGGGCGGGAAGTGGGCCACGGTCTCGGCAGCTTGGGAGGTGCCTCGCCCGTTCGAGCCTTGCTTGGCTTGGTTACTTCGGGCTCGAGGCCTGCCAGTGCTTTGTCTTTCGAGGGTCCCTGGCCCTGGCATAGTAGCAGCACCAGGAGCTGCAGCAACATGACGGAGCAGGAAATCATTATATTTTGCGGCTGGAGAGAGGCTCAACTCTCTGGCCAGCTACGCATGGCCAGGTGCCTTGCTTGCCGCTGAGCTCGAGGGGGGGGGGACAACGATGACGTCCACGACGAAAACGAGGACGAAGACGAACACGACTACCATCACGAAGGCAAGCACAACTAGCACGACGACCACGACGAAGACGACGCCATCGACCACCACGACGACGAAGACGAACACGCCTTCGACCACGAAGACACCCACAGCGACGATGTCCGCGACGACCACGAACCACGACGACGAGCAGCAGCGGCACGCTGGCCCAAACGCCCGCGTTCAGGAGCCGCACCGCCGAAGCCAGAGGCCGCCCCGTGGGAAGAGCGGATGCGGTCCAGGGCAGAGCGAGGCCGCCTCCCCCCACGGGCTGCCCCCGCGGCTGCCCCGCGACTGCCGGAGCGAGCCCGGGCCGTGGCAGGGGGCTCCCTCCCTTTTCATTCGGTTGCACGTGGGAGTGGCCTGTTGTTTTGGGCGGCCTTCGGGGGGCGCGTGGGGGCTAAACCCGAGCACGCGGACCATTGCTGTCGCATCGTCCGCAGCGGGCGGCAGGCCGCGCACCAAAGGTCACTCTCTTGCCCAGGGTCTTCTTGCCTGGGACACCCCGCGCTGGGCGAGCCTGGGGAGTCCCCACGCGGGGCGACCTCGCGTGGGACGCCTCGGCCGCCCAGCCGCCGACCCGTCGGAGGCGCTCTGGGTCATCCCCGCGGCTCGAAGATCGATGGCAGGCCGAGACGGCCGGCCTTTTGGGCCGCTGCCGGGCCCCATGGGGGCCGCATCCGCGCTCCCTGGGGCCGTCAGGAAACGATCCGAGGTGAAAGGGTGCCCCAGGGAAGTGGTCGGGGGAAGTGGTCGGGAGGAACCGCCGCCGTCGCCGACGTGCCGCCGCCGCCGCCGTCATCAACTTCTTCGTCGTCCTCTTCGTCCTCCGTCCCTCGAGCTCCTCTTCGTCCTCCTCCTTCTCCTCGGCTGGTTTTTTATTTCATCGCTTCGCTCATTCCGCTGGCCCGTATTCTGCCATTTCGCGTTTGCGTGCGCGCTCGTGGGCCATGCGGCGCTGCTGGTCGGCGCTGCTGCAGTTGTGGGTGAGAGTCCTCATGGATGCTTCTTGGTGTCTCTTCGCAGGGTTCTCAGCGGGCTTCTGTGTACCAGTTTTAGAGGCTCTCGGGGGCCTCCTGGGGGCGCCTTGGATGCTTCTTGGGGCTCTCTGAGCGCCTCTTGGGAGCCTCTTGGATCCTCTTGGGGGGCTCTTGGGGGCCGCTTGGGGCAGCCTGGACGCCTCTTGGGGCCGAGGGCTCGAAATCCTCGTTCGACTTCCTCCTTCTGGGCCCCCTCTTAGGCTCTCCTTGTCCGTCTTGGAGGCCTCTGGGTCCGTATTGGGGCCCTCTTGGGCCGTGGTGGGGTTCTCTTGGAGGCCTCTTAGGCCGTCTTGGAGCGATCTTGGGGGCGTCTTGGGCCGGCTTCGAGCGTCGGCGGCCGACAAGGTGACAACGCTGAAAACTGCCAACAACCGATGGAACATAGTTGATGTGTACCTCAAGGGGGCTTTGGGGGAGTGGCATTGGAGGTAATTATCTTTGTGCGTCTCGGAGGCGGTTGAAGCCGTCTGCAGGCTATCTTGGGCATTTTGGAACGACTTCAGGTGACTCTGGGCCCTTTTAGACCGCCTTGGGGGCCTCTTGATACGCTCTTGAAGGCCCTGCAGGCAGCCCCCAGGAGTTCCGGCATCCGTGACGGGGACCGTCCGGG